AGATGCTTCGTCTTGAGATGCTTGCAAAGCTCAGTCGGTCGCGATCATGTCATCCTATACATCTATCTACGCAGTGGCAGGCTCGGTGGGTTGAAGCCGTGAACGGAGTGCCAGGAGTCCAGGACTCAGGAGAGACCCATTTGACTGAAACATCAGCAAGATCATGGACTCAGACATTTTGCTCGTGGGCTATTAATACTTAAGTAACATTGGGTGGAGTTACTTGAGGATAAGCAGATAGAGATGAGAGTTGACTATTCTACAAGATAAACCTGGATCCGGCGATGAAAACCATCACCTTCAACGAGATGATGCATTGGGCGATGTGGAATGTTTGCGATCGTGCTCCTTTAGGAGGTCAATCGCCAAGGCTCCCTCATCGATTATCTAGTCTACCCCCTACCTTGGATCTCCTTGCCTCCTATTGCCTACCCAAACGGGAAAAGCAAAAGCATCATCCCATCCCATCATCCAGCTGGTCAGCGGGGGTGAGAGTATTGTACTCCGACTGTACTCCGTAATGGGACCTATCTCGACTATGCCACTGGGTGAATCACACTCTAGTTGTGAGCAGACGGCAAGCCGCATCGGTCTGCGCATCTCTGCAGTAGGGTTTTTTGATTGTAGCTATCCATCATCCGTCCATCCATCCATCCATCTGCTAAGGTATCTATTGTTTCCTTGCCATTGCACTTGCAATTGCGCTTGCCCGTGGTTTGTCGCTTTGCGACCACAATTGGTCGTCAGTGGTTTTTGACCGAAGATCAGTGGCAAGTGGCAGAGAAGTACTCGCTGTCAAGTACGGAGGTACTCTATAGGTACCTTCTTCCTATCAATATTTTCTTTGCTTTTCCTCTTTTCTAAAAGTAATGCTTTCCATCTCCGTGGCTTTTTTCTTGACCTGTCACTTTCGCTTCGCTGTGCATGTCCACCATTTATCGGGTAACAGCATTCGTCTCTGGCTGAACTTTTGTGCTTACTGTGGTCTTGCAGAGGTTTGGTCTGGGATCATCCCTCTCGGTACCTAGAGTCTGACTAGGTACAAGAAAGAAACAATGGTACTTCGCCATCATCTGGAATGCTGGAGGTCGCCAAAAATGAATGCGGGATATCATGCACCACGGTCATTCCTCAAGAAATCTTGAAGAAGATACAGATGGATACGGAGCAAGTAAATTCAATAATAATAGTAGTCTACCTCTTTTCTCCTGACCCACAAGGGCCACAGCACTGTCACCGAATCTGGCGCCGTTCAAGGAAGGGGACTAAGGAACTAGTGGATAATCCCTCCATAATCAATCCCCTGTACTCTGTATCTACTGTAGATAGTCATCCACTCTATATGTAGCGACAGCTATTGTCCTCATAACGCCCATCTGGGCTTTGTTCAGGGGTTCGTTCAATCAGTCACTTTGATACCAGCTTCACTTCATCATGGCCGTTCTTCTCTCCAGTCTGAACTAACCTAATCATGAATTCTAACCCTTTTTCCCTCTTCTATCCACTGTTGGCTTTTCCGTCCCAGTCCATGCAGTAGCTGAATGCGTCTTAACTGTCGAGTCTCGAGCAGCCTCACTTTCCAGCCTTACCCTTTGCGTTTACAGGCGACTGCTGCTACTGTTCCCGATTCGATCTTGTAGCTCTCTATTCCTTCTGCCCCAGATTCCATGATTAACGTTTCCTTTCTGCTCTCTGGCTCCGCTGTGGTGCTGTGATCGTGCGCTCGGAGAGTTCTCCATCCCCAGTCTCCAAGTGCATGCGTGACCATTTTCAGCATACGTGAATGCCTGCACTGTCTTGCTGAAAGCATCTGCTTCTCTTGCCATTGGCTATATCAAGATACTTCCTCCTGGTGGCTTTGCCAGATTTGATCTTTACCTCTACTTTTTGTTCCCTTTGGAGTTTTGGACCACTGCGCTGCGCTGCAGTAGATCGCTTGCTTCCACTTTGTTTGCTCTTATCTCAGGTCCTTTTAACTTTTCAACTGTCGTTGCTTATTCTCTACGTATCCCTCCTCAGTATTTTTATACCTATACTCTTCCCTGTCTGTTCGGTCATTACCCTAAACCTCTCACTCGTGCTTGGCTATACAGCAGAGCTGTTCGGAGTCGACCTTACCTAGCAACGCTCCGGGGAGAAGATTACTTGCGCAAGATCTAATCTAGGAAAATATACGATCAAAACATCAAACCAGGGATCTAATCTGAAACCTGGTGCCCCCATTTTTGCGATCACCGCCTGCGATCTACATCCGTTGACAAGCACCAGGCAAGTATGTTTATCCCCCTCACCCCTTCCTCCGCCTTGACCCCAACTGCCCCAGGCAAGGACCGACCAAAGGGCTGATGGAAGGGATAGCAGATCGACCTAGCAACGTGTCCAGGGCTATGGTGTCTTGCTTACATCAGAGGGATTGGACTGCTCAGTGGCCGTGAATCATACAATTAAATCCGAGACGCCCAGACAGATCTATACCGCTCTCCGGAGGATTGTTCACTATCTACACCCAACGTCTCGGGACTGCTGATCGGATGGAGATGGATCTTCAGAAAACAAAGGAGGCGAGGCGCAATGCGCCGGGGAAGGAGGAAGAAGGAACGGGGTGTCCACTAGAAGCATACAACGGAAGCGGTCATTCAATCGACTCCCTCGAGAACGATTCTCTAGATCATCGCGACGGAACCAAACGCAAAAACAGCGGCAAAGATAGCGCGAGTACAGAGCAAGCATGCTCGGTGAGTGGATCTCCCCATCTTTATAGTTCTCGCCAAACTAATTCAGATGCGACGAGACAGGCGACGCCGCCGACCCCTCCGCCTCCTTCGTCTGAAGCGATGGAGATCCCGAAAGCATTCGAATTGAGCGCGAAACAGCACAAACTACTCCAGGAAGCCAAACGATATCCTCCAGTCACTAAGAGAACGCTGAGCGAGCTCGACTTGCCCTGCATCATGAGCAATATCAACCTTCGAATGGACGCCAATTTCGATCGCGACCTACATTTCAAGCCGGATTTAGACGGGGAGAAGGGGAGAAGGAAAAGGAAAGAAGCGGGGGATTACTGGGAGGCGATGGCTGCCGAAATCGCAATCTATGCTTTTTGCGCAAACCAGACTGAGAACGCAACAGACGACGACCAGCAGGATGACCTGCCGCAGACGTTCGAGCCCCGGTTGCCCGCCATGTTCGAAACCCTACAAGACGTCCTCAAAACCCTGGTTCCGGAGCGCGATCACCCGGCCGTCACGCAAAACCTAGAGGTGGCTCTGCTGATGCAGCAGGTCCGGAAGGGAGTTCTCGACATGGTTGGGATCGCCAACTGGCTGGCCAGGCTCCTCAAAACACATTGCGCTCCGATGCGAGACGAATGGGCGGACCGCATGGTTGAGCAGATCAGTTCTGGCTCGGAATCACAGGACTCCATGGAGATTGTTCGCGGGTTGCAGACCCTCTTCGCCATTTTGGAGGCTATGAAATTGGTAGGCTTGAGCTCTACCTCAGGAAGGTCTACGTGCTGACTTTCTTCCGTCTTTAGGATGTGGCAAATCATCAGATCCGCGCCTTTCGGGTTCTCCTAATCGAAGACACTGTCCCCTTCCTCCAAGAGTACTTCCGGAGTAAGATAGCCAGAGACAATTTTCGCGTAGAGGCTTCGCGGCTATGGTATCTGGACGTACGGGAGCAGGAGCTACGCAACCTGGGCAAAAGTGCACAAAATGACAGCTTCCTGCCGGTCTCGTTATTATTCCACGGATTAACCGATATCCTACTACAATTCCACGACCCCAAAGGTTTCCCGGAAACCTTCGTCTTCGACTCGGACCGCTTATGGCAGCTCCGGTCTGGTCTGCAGAGTCTCATCACTCTGGATATCTGCTGGTTCATCTTTGAATCATACGTCCATACGCAGAAACGGTACTTGTCCGCGCCGGCTCAAACATATGCCAGCTTTCGCTCGCGAATCGGGTCATTGATGGAAGAGAATGATGACTGCCGCCGGGGGTCGCCACGATGGTTGAAGAATGTGCGCGGGATCGCCTTGGAGATTGCACGGTTTGCGTGCGCAGCATGCTCTGGTGATTCCATGGTCTCGGATGCTGTTATCGCACCAATCGAAGCGACGTTGGAGTGGCATCTGTCCAACGAGTCCTCGGAGCTGTTCCAGTACTTTCAGAACGCGCTGCGACAGAAACTGCTGGTCTCCACATTTGCCTTTGCCAAAAAGTACCTCAACATGTCGCCTCTAGCCATCTGCGAGTCCCAACGAAGCTACGCGCATTCGCCAGTCCCGCAGCACTACGACATTGAGCGGATATCGATGCGACTAGCACACATTGGCGTCCTGCACTGGAGGGTCTGGGCACCCATCCTCTACGTGCGCGAGAGCCTGTCACCGACTGACGTGGCGAGCAGTCTGCCAGCCGCTGAGTCATAACGGCAGTACTGCGCGGGAATTTGGGGACCTAGTTGAAAATCAGATTTCCGTCACACGATCATTACTGCATACGGTCATACCTTGTCTTTTTTAAATTCGGTCGTTCACCTGGGAGTTTCACTGTGATCTTGCTGGCTTCATAGCTTCGGGTGGCACAGAGCGGAGTTCCGGGTCTTGTTTCATCATTCGTTTCTTGTCTTTCTTGTGGCTTGCAATTCAGCGTCTTGCATCGGTACATTGTCGGGTCATGGCGTCCACATGGGAAGGGCATTCGATCAAAAAAGCCTTGCCTTCTTCTGGGCTGGGTGTTGTCGCATACTTTGATAGAGGTAGTACCAACCTGGTATATGCCATTAGTTCGATTAGAATGAGTCTTATCTTATAATATTAATATCGATTCATTAGACAGAGGTTACATATATCATAGTGTAGCATATATAAAATGCATAAATTACGTAAGCAAGTATCCAACTTGTGCTGCATAAACAATCTTACTACCTTTCCCAGCAACTCACTCAGGCAATGCAATAAACATGCTACACCAAGACGGGATTAAAGAAGAAAAATGCGCATATCATTACCCCTCCTCAGCTCATACAGCTGGCTCAACAGCCTCAAGGCATCCCAACTGCAGCGCATCGCCCAAGCAACGGGGATCCAGTCCTCAGGGACAAAGGCATGTCTCATCGCCCGGTTGAAGGAGGAACTGCCGCAGCGAGAACCCGAGAACCGAATGAGGGCATGCACAAGCACAAGCACAAGCACAAGCACTATGAGTATCCTGAGCATCGACATGGGGATTCAGAACCTCGCATACGCGCATCTCCTTGTCCCGCGCGACAGCAGTAGCCATAGCGGCACTGCTACCGCTCCGGCAGTTGTGAAGCTGAACGCATGGCGCCGGCTGGCTGTTTCCGACATATTACTTGAGCCAGACCCTGACGCTCGTTCTTCCCCTCCAGGGAAGACCAAAGAGGGACGTACGGCGAAGCACCAAGGGAAAGTGAAAGAGAAAGAGAAAGAGAAACACACGTTTTCTCCGGCCGAGTATGCGCGCACGGCGTACGCGCTCGTCACGGGCTTGCTGCACGCGTACCGGCCCAGCCATGTGCTTATTGAGCGGCAGCGGTTTCGCTCGGGCGGGGCCAGCGCGGTGCAGGAGTGGACGCTGCGGGTGGGTGTGTTTGAGGGGATGTTGTATGCGGTTTTGCATGCGCTGGGGTGTGAGCGGCGGCGGGCAGGAGGTGGAGGAGCGGGGATGCGGCCGGTGGTGCTGGGTGTTGAGCCTAGGCGGGTGGGGGCGTATTGGGAGGGTCGGTTGGGGGTGGGCGCGGACGGACCGAAGAAGACGAAGAAGGCTTCGGCTAGGGAAGGGAAGAAGGTCAAGATTAATCTGGCGGGGGAGTGGCTGCGTGCTGGGATGGTAGGCGTGGAGGCGGGCTCGGGCTCGGGCTTGCCGTTTGGTTTGTCTGTCGCGGATGACCCTGAGCTTCGGGCCCTGGTCGATGCGTATCTGCGGCGGTGGGCGGGCAAATCGAATCCTGGGACGTCGGTGTCGAGGCCTAAGGCCGAAGGGCAAGTTGCAGCAGAGGATGACGGAACTGTGGTTGAACCCCCGGACGTACGCAAGATGGATGACCTGGCGGATTGTCTGGTTCAGGGTGTGACTTGGTTGGAATGGCAGGCTATGAAGCAGCGGGTTGCGACAGAGGGGCTGGATGCCGTCTTGCAGCTGGAGAGCGGGAAGCTTTGATATATGTGATACCCTGTATAATAGATTGTGTTGTTTATGAACCTGATAGTCTACTCCAAATCATAAAGTATCCGTGCATGCTATACAACTAAACATAGAGTCCGCGGTGGTTCAAGTGCAAGGGTCCAACAAGCAATCAACATAAAACTGAATACAGTGCTACATCCGACAACAAGCTACTGTCCCTGCTACAAGCAGGCAAACGCAATAGGAACCATAGAAATGGAATGGATTCGCTCGCTACATAGTCTATCGAGATCATCACTCCGCCGAAATGCAGTAGATCGTGGATCTCTACGTTATTCCGGCAGATCAGAAGTAGTTCATACAATTTGCATAAAAGCACTGTCGCTAAACAATGTCGAGTATCCGAGTCTCACCAGATGTGTGACCAATGACCGTTGGTAATACGGAAATTCAGCTGGAAGCGTCTCCGGAAAAACTGCAAAAGAAGCAACTTTGTTGGTAAAATCAGCGAGATCTGGCCTGATTCGCTTCGTGGGAGAAAGTAAAAGAAGCACCAGAAGGGTATAGAAAGATTCCTGCCCCTCCTGATAAGAGAAGAACGTAAGAAGAGTAAAAGACGTCTAAATGAAGTTTGTGCCCGAACTAAGTTTGTACCAGAAGAAGAAAAAAGGAGGAGGACCCTTCGCTCAAGAGGTACAACGCCAGCGTGCGCATTTCGCCTCGGAATCGACGATCTCCCGGTTACAGAACGGCCATTGTCACAGATTCGGATACCCGGCGACTCGCATCAGGCTGGCTAACTTAGTGGCGGCGGTAGCCGGTGGGGTAGGGCAGCTTGCTGGTCTTGAAACCAGTGGGCTTCGCAGCGCCGCTGGGTGAAGGAATGGTGCCGTTGCCGTAGCCGTAGGGTGGGCGAGCAGTGGGAGAGGGCACACTGGTGGACTCGTCGTCGTCCTCATCATCGCAGCTGTCATCCTCATCGTTGTCAGAGTAGTGCTCGTTGGCGCCGCTGTGAACGGCGGTAGGAGAAGCAGTCTACAATTGCGTTGCGTTAGCACCCAAGAGACCCCGAGACATGAACGGAATCAATACATACCTTAGTGACGGTAGTAGTGACGGTGACAGTCGCCGGGTTGCAGCTGTTTCCGTTTTTAGAGCTGCCATAACCAGGAGTCGAAACAGCGAACACAATAACGGTGGAGGTAGATGTAGAATGGAGTGTGGTAACAACATCAGAGGAAGACTATGATGCAGAAAGTCAGTCAATCGGTTGCAATACGACTAGAGTAGTGGAATGATCAATGCGACATACAGCGTAGACAGCGTGGACATTAGTCGAGGTCTTGTGGATAGTAGTGGCGACGACTGACTTGGTGCTGCCAGTACCCAGAGTGTAGGTGAGAAAGAGGTCGTGGCCACCATTGTTGCCGTAGGAGCCACCAGATCCAGGAGTACCAGTGCTGAGAGGGACCGGGGTCGGGGTGATTGCAGAGATCGAGCCACCAGCAGCGGACGAAGATTTCACCGGAGTCGGGTAGACGACGACAGTCGAGGTGGAAGCACGAGTGGTCTCGTTCAAGCCGCTGGGGTGGAAGAACTTGCGAGCATGGAGAGCCTGGTGGTTGGCCTCACCACCAGCAGCCAGGATGGCCAGAAGAGCGACGGAAAGCTTGCTTGTGAACTGCATTTTCAATAATGTATCGCACAATGACAATCAATGCCTCTGCTGATCTGTTCTTTCTGGTGATAAGACTGTGCTTGAAAACGAGTGTGGGGGAAGCGAAATCTATTCGCAACTGATAGAAAGAGTGGCTGTGCGTAGAGAAAGGAATGATCTCGGGCACGAAGCAGAAGTGAAGGCAGCAGACAGTCTGGGATGAAAAGGAAAACCCAGAAGAGAAGAGGGAGACCTGATGCTGATGTAGGGGAATTTAAAAGGAGGGAGGGGCCATCAGGGCATATTGGTACATCGCAGACTACCTAGTCTTGGTTGTACCTTTGACTTGGGATTCAAATTAAACTAATTAAATTTTAATTACTATTATTATTATGATTATTTGTCTCTTCGACGAGCGGGATATCCCGTATCTGATACACGGTACATGCAGTACCTTACCTACAAAACACTGCTTCAGGCAGGTACCTGGTACCTGAGTCGCAGGCTGCAACCAGCACTTAGACTAAACTAGATAATCCTCATACCTAGTAGTTAAAAAGACTCTGAAGTGGGTGGCGCTCAAGTGGAGAAGCTAAAAGGACCAAATCGACGGTAAAAAGGCTAAACTCTGTATCATGTTAATGATGTTGGACCTAGACGTCGACAGGCATCAGATGTCACAACCATTTTGAGCCGTCTATTACATCCTCTTCGGAAAGCTAAAAATGTCTCCTAGAAAATTATTATTCTGATATTGTGGGTAAAATTGTAAAAACCCCTTTCTTTAAGGTATGGATTAGATTATTATTCTCCGTATCTGACACAAAGGATGGAAGTAATATCCAATTAGTAATTACTGGGGTGGGGTCCAAGCTCAGGAACCGCACGCAGATTCGCTGCTGGCTGAGATGAAGGCCCGTTTCATGCTGTCCTGGTGATCTGTGATTGGCTTGTGCCCCTTGCTTAATCTCGCTGCGTGCCTCCCGTCCGTGGCACACACGCTTTCCTTCTCCGTTGCTGTGGTGGGATTTTTCCCTTGGCAGTTGGCACGTACCTAATTTTCCCTCCTTTTTCCACTCTCATCATTCGGGTTGCCGGTATCCAGATACATTCAGGACATGGCACAGCCTTACGAGGGGTAGATAGGGCCGGTAGGTGAGTTTTAGGCAGACCGAAAAGTTTGTTGATATACGCCAAATGACGGTGATTTCGGTGTTGCATGATACCCGTATGTCGTATCTAGCTGGAGGTATTTAAACGCAAGTTCAAGATTTTCGCATGCGCTGGCCATTCGGGGTACGGAGTACGAGAGGGTTACTAAGTAGGTAGATACTTCCCTAAGTGGCCTGTCCCAAAGGAACTAGAAAACGCGAAAAGGATGATACTATCGACCGCTTCCAGTCCCAGGCCCAGCAATGCATAACTTTTAGCTTTAAAAGATACGAACATGGATCCTGCAATGGCAAATTCATGTTGATCTCCTCTGAGAAGAACACATTCTGTGCCTCTCGCCGAGTTTATTAACTCAAGTCCTCCTATCTAATTTGCATCAAGGAGTAGCTCTGCCACTGTGGGTAATACTGAGGACGGGGCACAACTCTTAATTCCGATGGATTCTAGGCCCCTTCCCCCCTTTTCTCGTCGCGAGATAGGGAAGTAACTATCTATTTCTTCACATACATTGAGAGCGTGCGTCTTCGGAATCGATGTTAATAGTGCCATTTCCGCGTCTATTATGGAGTACCTTGAGCGACATGCAACCATCTACGGTAAATTGCGAGCTTTGACAGTCGCCGATCAACAGTCATCATACCGGCAAGCCGCAAGCGAGAATTGATAGGCTAGGATAGTCTACGGGTTGTCGATGCGAGGTGGAGAATAGAGAGTCTAGACAACGAGCAAATCGTTCTGGAGGTCGCGGGCCTCGCGGCATCTTTTAAATGACCAAAGTCTAGTTTCTCTCAAAGGTCCGCTTCTAGGGATTCTATGTCTTTGTTCAGAGTAGACAGATTGGATTGGCAACTCGTGGCATCTAGATATCCGGACACTCCGTAGACTGAGTTTAAACATGGTACGAAGGATCTGTGCTACAGTCTGTTACTCGGTAATTTCGTGGCTGTCGTCCTGCCTTGTTCTCATGTTAATCACCATACGCCAATAATGTTTCACCGTCGGAAGTGGCTTTGACATCGACCAGTGATGGTGATACTACTGAAAGTTGAGAGTGAGACTTTGCATAGCCTGACCCCTTTTGGAACCATGTAACACTTCCTGTGCAGTGTGATCCTCATTAATGACAATGATATGATAAACTTAACTACTCCGTAGCATCAACAATATGTCACTATACCTAGAATATATAATTGGCTCAACCGGGGACCACTTGACATGGCCCGATACCTGCATAAGTTCGAGATAACTCCCCGGAGAGCTTTGCCCTTTCCAAAATTTTGATCACAGAAGCATCAGATGATTGACATCCCTCAGGCATTGAGATGGTCTAGTTTTGAAACATGATTCAGATGATCTTCCCCATGCAAATACGAAGTATCTACCGTGTTTGAGATTCGAATTTTGAGCGAGTAGAATGAGCCGAACATGGATCAGATTCCAGACATCAGGCCTGCCTCGAGCCCCAGACAGGGTGGGAACAAAGACTCTTCCAGGCTGTCCGAATTTGCTCTCAGTGGAGCTGTGATTTATGAGATTGAGGCCAATAATCCATGATTATGATCGTCTCTGTGTTAATCAAGCTGTTACAACTTACGAGCTTGTCATACGGCCCGTGTCTCACAGACCAATTATTTGCCGAGTTAACTGACCTTAGAGGTAAGCATGACAGCATCAAGATCTAGATTCTATCCTGGACCCTGGATAGAGCCAACTGGCTCCTCAAGTGCTTCTGATGGAGAAGACAAAAGTTACTACCTTCGATATCTGCCCTCGTTGTGCCCTGGGCTGCGCATTCTGGAACTGCAGCCGCCCGCCTTCTTAACCTTGGATGATTTATCAAAATGACCCCACCTAGTGGACGCCAGTCAGCCGCCTCTGACGTGACTGCATCAAGCATTATTTGGATGGTTGCTACCTTAGTTTGACAGCCCTTCTCACTATCAGCAGGCCGTAAGTATCCTGCCAGCCAATTCGACTATCATAGTCAACCATCATGGCAAGCAACTCATACCAGGCGCTTCGATCACAATACCAAGCCGCGTTGAAGCGTTTCATCGCTTCTTCCAGGAACCTCGAGATACTCAACGCCGTTCCGTCGAACGAACTACAAGAGCAAAAACAGCCTTCGCAGGCTCCAGGTGTACTCTATGTCTTGGACTCATCGTTCAACCCCCCAACTCTCGCTCATCTGAGAATCGCAAGCTCAGCCCTTCTCGAAAAACCCAGTGTCCCGTCGCGACTGCTGCTACTCCTCGCTACCCAGAATGCCGATAAGCCATCCAAGCCCGCCGACTTCGAAGACCGTCTGGTTATGATGGAATTGTTTGCGCAGGACCTGTTATCGCACTTGGGGACGACCTCGTCATCTCCGGCAAATGCGGGCCTCCAACAGATCGACATTGGAGTGACAAAAAAACCATACTTCGTGGATAAGGCGGCGGAGATCGAGCAGTCAGGCGTATACCCAAAACCCCTGGAGCAGGTCCATCTCACGGGCTACGACACTCTGATCCGGATCTTCAACCCCAAGTACTACCCCCCGGAACATACCCTCCAACCGCTTGGGCCGTTCCTTTCGCAACATAGACTACGGGTCACCATGCGTCCCGACGATGAATGGGGCAGCAAGGAAGAGCAGAAGGCTTTTCTGCTCCGCCTGGCTCAAGGCGGTCGCGAGAATGAAGGCGGCAAACGTGAGTGGGCGCAGCGCATAGAGCTTGTAGAAGGGAAGAAGCCGGGGGAGAGGCCCGTGAGCTCAACGAAAGCACGCGAGGCCATCCAGACGAATCTGCAGGATCTCGACTGGTTGGTTCCCAGGAACGTCCGGGAATACATCCTGTCCCAGCGGCCGTACCCCGAGTAGCTGAACTCACGGCATCTCCGTTATGAATACTTGGAGTAGATTCAGACGGCGCTACTGTAGCGTAATGACTTTTACCACCTATTTCGCGTATTATACATGAACTGACCCCCCGGAAGCATATATACTGAGACAAACGATCCAACCAGAACACCCTACTCCACATCATATACCTAGCATCAAATAGAAATACAACGTCACGGTGCAATCTTTTCACTCATCATGATCTTCTCTCTTCCCCAGGGTATAAGCCAATCCGCCGCCCACCATGTTGAGCAGGCAAAGACCCATGGTCGTACCGCGAACAATCCCCCGCGCGCCCCATTTCTTCATCAATGGCTGCCGTCGCCGACCTGCAAGCAGAAGATAAAGACCCGACCAGGCGGCGCTGATCCCCGCGCTGTCTGTCTTGAAGCCCTGGATATTCGCATAGCTTGTGAATAGAAGGACTGGTGGAAACAGCATCGGCAAGAACTGGAAGGGACGCATGTGTTGCGCTGTGATGAGCGACGCCAGGAGAGTGGGAGGGAACGGGTTTTCTAGAGGTAGAGGCATACACATTGATTAGATTCTTGGTTACCAAATCGGATTTTGGAATTCATCACAGATTGTATTTCATTGCAAGCTGGGTCCTTACCTCCCCATGCCCTGGCTCGTTGCATGAGAGACTGTTTCGCCTTTTCCGTTGCATCTTCACCAGCCATTGTCCCGGATGACTAGGCGTTTCTAGATAAAGGTTTAATATTGAACAAAGATTATAGAATGAAAAGCGAGGATATCTTCAATTAAGGACTATGAGGATTGTCTTCAGATTAACGCTCGGTCATGCGACAGTAGCTCGTCTGCTTGATAGATAAAATACTCAAGCTACCGCCGGATGAGTGATAATCTGACAGGCCTAGCCCGCGGCTTAGCGTCAACATCTGAACTCCAAAAGGACACCACGTTTATCTTCCAGAGCTAGGGAGGCCAACCATCACAACCCTAGGGCCAAATTGACGCTATTCATCCCTATTCGCTGTTAATACGTCAAACCCTTTCTATCTACTGTCTGGAAAGCGCATTATCCTCTCGTTGCCATCGCTTACAGCCACCGGATCGGTCCCTCTGCCGCCTTTAACTTGCGCCGCCTCCAGAGCGATTTTTTTTTTTTTTTCTGAATAAGAGGATAAGGAATAGATAACCGACCGGACGACTAAAACCATCATACACGCTCTCTGCCATGCCATCCGCTTCAGCATCCGGCGCGGATACTGGCGGTTCAGCCAGATCACGCGAACACAACCAGGGGAACCAGGATCGCAAATACACTGCGGAGCAGAAGGCAGCCGTGATTAGGATACGAAAATGCTCGAGCACGGCGTACTACGAGATTCTAGCCTTGGAGAAGTCAGCGTCGGATGGGGAGATCAAGAAGGCATACCGCAAATTGAGTTTATTGACACATCCCGATAAGAACGGGTATGAAGGGGCGGATGAGGCATTTAAGAGTGAGTTCTTCATCCCCGGGTACTGGGATATTAGGATCTCGGTCGTAGCTGATGCATGTGGCCGCAGTGGTCTCTCGTGCTTTCCAAGTGCTATCGGACCCGGACAAGAAATCCAAGTATGATAAGTTTGGCGGAGATCCGGACAGCAGGTTCACACCTAGTGCTGGGCCCTCGGGGGCGTCTCCTTTCGGTGGCTTTGGTGGTGGTGGGTTCCCGCGGTCAGCGGGTGCTGGTGGTCCTATGTTCGAGGAGGAGATATCGCCGGAGGAGCTGTTCAATCGCTTCTTCAATGGCGGGTTCGGAGGAGGAGGGTTCGGCCCTTTCGGTACGCTTGCCACACATCCTTTTTTTCTTGTCTCTCCGAGAGCCCATGCTTACGGATGCTATCTAGGAGGCCCTCAGTTTGTTTTCAACATGGGTGGAGGTCCAGGTTTCCGGGTACACCAGTTTGGAGGGCCTCGACCGCGACGAAGACCTCGCGAAGCCAGCGCTCAAGCCGAAGCCGCACCGTCTGGCTGGGCAACGTTCCAGTCACTACTCCCTCTTATCCTTCTATTCATGCTTCCTCTGCTCTCCTCTCTTTTCTCTGGCTCGTCGTCTCCTTCCGGTCCTTCCTACAGATTTGATGCCGCTGTACCCCCTCACACCATGCAGCGGACGACACCGAAATACAGCGTCAATTATTTCGTCAATCCTAGGGACGTGGAAGACTACAGTGCGAAGAAACTTCGCCAGTTGGACACAAAAGTGGAAGTGGACTATATAACCAAACTGCGGTACGAATGCGAGAGCGAAGTACATGCTCGGGACCGGATGATGCAAGAAGCCCAGGGCTGGTTCTTCCCAGATGTAGAGAAGATGAAGGAGGCGAGGGCCATGGAGCTTAAGAGCTGCCGGCGGTTAGATTCTCTGAAGGGGAGATATTAACCAGCGTCACGATACGTCCTTTTGCGTTTTGACCTGCGATCTTGGTTCTTCATAATTCCTGTTGGCCGCTTCTCTTTCTGTCTGCTTCTCTATTTTGTATTAGAAGCAAATGACTGGCGGAGATTTTCGATGGCGTCCCATGGACTGATGAGTTACTGGATGTCTATGATTACACTTATTGTGCAAATACTTTTATCAACGGCTGTGAAGAAAATTGAAAAATCAACTCGAATACATTTGATACCGTTCTTCAGTGGGATAATCTTCGTGCTTGACAAATGGACGAATGGCAAGGGCGGTCTGCCTGGCTTAGTTAAGGACATTAATCATGCAGGCGAATCTCAGCGACCATGACCGAATGTCGCCAGTACTGTAGAGTGACCACTAGCATTCATCCATCGGCCTGGTCGGTCGTTACCCTTCTTGTTACTGAATCATAGATGTCCCAGGATTCCCCAGAGTACATATTTCTTTGACTTTTGCCTTTTGTGATCCCTCTTGGATCAGTCATATAGTAACTGCTTACTCTATCTTTCTCCGCACCCTTCTGCCCCGCTGACAGAGCCTCTTCTCTTGGGGCATTCGTTCACATCTCCCCCTTCAATAGACGATGTCAGATACTCTCTCTGATGCGGATAAGGTGAGTGCTGTACTGCTTGACGCTCAGTGTCTAAAGTTAGGGGTTTTGTGGCTGGATGACAACTAAAACTCCTTGTGCAGATCCACAACAAGCGCCTCGCAAAGCTTGGAAACCCATCCTCATCCTCAGAAAATGCGGCAGCACCAGAGACAGCTTCTACCCAGCCTTCTATACCTTCACTGCCCAGTCCTACTCCTCAACAGACATCCGACGCTCCGCAGCCACAGATCAATATCAGCAGCGCTCCGCGCTCCCAGACTTCTTCGCCTCGGCCGGAGTTGCAAGAATCAGAAGGCAAGCGAATTAAGATCACACCGTTCGCCCCTGCAAGTCCTGCCCCGGAGTCATTATCTGCTACCCCAGTATCAAACACCCCTCCGCCAACGAAGGCAGAAGAGAGTATTGAATCCTTTGAGGATCGCACACTAAGCGCCGTCTTCAAGCTTAGCTTGAGGGAAGACCGACAGCGGGACATCCATGGGCACAAGTTGATCTATTTGCCTGGGTTACGGAGCGAACTCGACGACCAGGGCCGCGAACCGCGCATCGACACTACTGTGCTGGACCAGGCCCTCCTTGAAGCCGCCTCGAATACCCAGCAGAAGCCTTTGGACTACCTATTGCCATGCTGGGCGCGGATCTCAAGGCTGCACAAGGGTTTTCGCCGTGCGCGCGAGGATGATCCGAAGTTCGGCGTCATCTGTGAGGCGCGGCGCCTGTGCATGAGCTATTGCATCTTCGCGATCACGATGCCGGAGATGTTCGGGTGTGTTCCTGCCTCTCCTCTGTTCAGTTGACCAAACGGACGACAAATTGACTGATTGTGTTGTCCCTTAGGCTCGAGCCATCCGAGCGGTCGCCGCTCAAGCCATATCTTCTGCTGGATCCCGAAGATGATAGGGGAGTTGATCTTGAGTTCTTGGGCGAAGCTGTGAAGAGATTTGAGGAAGACGAAAGCATCAAGCCGGCTGTCATCGCCGCCGTAGAGGAGATGAGCCGTGACCTTGCTGCGATGACTATCAATGATGACTACAAGTCTTATCTAATAGTATGCTTTTACCTCTGGCGATTTTCCCTTTAAGATTCCTCTTGCTAACCTATCTAGGCTCTGCGAAACCTGGTTGGTAATCCGGTCATTGCGGCTGCTATTACAGAGTCGTCTTTCTTCAACGAGTCTCGTGATCCAGCATTGTTTGAGAAGGAGACGCTTCTGGGTCCCTGGTTCCGCTTGTCGCCTCTCCAGGGTAATGTTACCATGACCTATTTCTCGAGTCCCAAGACTCGAGATCAGTCATATATCTTAAATGCGCAAAGATCCATGAGAATGATACAGCAGATGCTTAGCTCAGATCTGTTTGATGTCGTCAACCATATCATTCGCGCCAATAAGGAGGCAAGAGACAGAGTCCTGGACTGGTTCGCAGCCGCTTTGAACATCAACCACAAACGAAGAGCAATGCAGGTGGATCCTACTACTGTAGCTTCGGACGGTTTCATGTTCAATCTCACAACATGTCTGGATAGGCTTTGTGAACCTTTCATGGACGCAAACTTCACCAAGGTAGGCTTCGCACTTTATCTCATCATGCTCTTCCACCAGGCTCACCGGGTTCTTAGATTGACAGGATCGATGCGGGATATCTGCACCGGAACCCACGCGTTGATTTGAAAGATGAAACAAAGATCAATGCCGATCAGCATGCGTCTGATGCGTTTTACTCGAAGAAAGAAGAAGGGACTTCTAACTTCATCACTGAAATCTTCTTTTTGACTGTTGCTGCTCATCACTATGGTAGCGAGTCGCTTACGTCAAAGTTGGACCAGCTTGAGAAGGACCTCCGGCACATGGAGGGTACGATCAGGAGGTTTGAGCTGGAGCGACCCAGATGGATCAGTAACCCAGTGCAGCTTAGGGTATTTGAACAAGCTCTGAAGAAATACAAGGATAAGCTGGATTTGGGTCTCGCTCTGAAGTACTCTTTGCAAGGCGTTTTGTTCGACGATCAATGGCAGGCACGCTCCATGCTGTTCATGAGATATGTCGTCGTTTGGCTGCTCAGGCTTGTGTCCGGCGTCAATTTTCCAAAGGAACCAATTAAGTTGCCTCTTCCGGAGCAGCAGCCGGAGGTCTTCAAATGTCTCCCCGAATACTTTGTTGATGACATTGTCAGCAACTTCAAATTCATCATGTGGTGCATGCCCCAAATCATCACCGCGACACAGGGAGACGAGCTGGTTATGCTCTGTATCAGTTTCCTGGAGAGCTCGGGCTACATCAAGAACCCTTACCTGAAAGCGGGTCTTATTTCGATCCTGTTTCGGGGGACATGGCCTCGCCCTGGTGGCGCCCGCGGTGTTCTGGTCGATCTTTTGAACTCCTTCCCTTTTGCTAATGAATACCTGCTGCATGCCGTCATGAAGTTCTATATTGAAGCAGAGCACACGGGAACGCACACCCAGTTCTTTGACAAGTTCAACATTCGCTACGAAATCTTCCAGATTATCAAGTGTATCTGGCCAAACACTCTGTATCGGAACAAGCTCTACAACCAGTCCAAGCAAAATCTGGACTTTTTCGTTCGCTTTGTGAACTTGCTTCTAAACGACGTGACTTATGTGCTTGATGAATCCTTTGGCGCATTCATCACGATCCATGATACCCAGGTGGAGCTCAGTCGAAATGGGAACAATATGGATCCTCAGGAGCGTCAGCAAAAAGAGGAGCATCTTGCTTCCGCGCAACGGAACGCCAAGTCCTACATGCAGTTAACAAACGAGACGGTCGCCATGCTCAAGTTATTTACGGAAGCGTTGGCAGACTCGTTCACAATGCCTGAAATTGTCCAGAGATTGGCAGACATGCTTGATTACAACCTGGATGCCATGGTTGGCCCGAAGAGCTCCAGCTTACGAGTGGACAATCTGCAAGAGTACGGCTTCAACCCGCGGGCTTTGCTGAGTGAGATCGTCGATGTGTATCTCAACCTGATGACCAAGGAGAATTTCATCCTCGCCGTCGCAAGGGACGGACGGTCCTACAAGCCGGCCAATTTTCAGAAGGCCGGGGATATCCTCCGAAAATGGTCGCTGAAATCTCCGGAGGAGCTCCAACAATGGGAACAGCTGCAGGCGAAGGTCAGGGCGGCCAAGGAGGCCGACGAGCAAGCTGAGGAGGATCTGGGCGAAATTCCCGATGAATTCTTGGGTATGTTCGATGGGTTACTCACCTGTGATGGCCAAATAGCTGACAGCTTTTCCCTAGATCCCCTGATGTATACCTTGATGGAAGATCCAGTTCTCCTCCCTGGGTCCAGGGTATCCATGGATCGTTCTACTCTTCGGTCTCACCTTCTGAGTGACCCACATGATCCGTTTAACAGAGCTCCGCTCAAGATGGAGGACGTATTCCCTGGTAAGTTTTCATTTCTTGCCTGTATCGAGCGTCGAAAGCGACCCGGCTGACTGGTTTTGTTTAGATACGGAGCTCAAGGCCAAGATTGAAGCATTTAAGGCGGAGAGACTAGCGGCTCGACGACAGCCTTTAACGCAGACTGTGACTGACGCTATGGATACGTCGACTGATTGAAGCACAAGAAAAACTTGCATAGAAGTCGTTGATGGATAATACTTGCTCGGCATAGACATCTGAAGCCATTCAAGCCTGCCCTTTCGCATTACTTCAGTTTGAATTAAGGATACCATGCTTGACCATCCTGGATTGGAACCGATTTGTTTTCCATATACTATGTACTTGGCTGTTTTGTATACACCTATACATCATGAGTACTGCTGCTATGGAGGGAGAAGAGATACATCCATCTTCAGTTGTGACAAAAGTTCGATACATCGACCTGTAACTAAGCAGCTGGTCACGTGCAGTGACTATCCCGTGACATCATTGGATAAACCCAAGCTATTGATCGTTCTTTGTTGACGTGGGATTCACCTACACCATATCCATAAATTCACTTCTCTTTGTTGTGCTGAGACTTGAGAGAGCTATATAGTCATGGTCTGAAGCATTTACGTCCGGAGTTTCCTTGATCATCATTGTCTCAGACTCTCTGTAGCACCTGAGCATCTGAGCATCTGAGCATCCCAAACCAGCGTGACCCTTGAAAGAAGTCAGTAGCTTGATCAAGGCCTATTACCGCGTATGTTTTCCTTTAAATAGTGTTGATCATATTATTGATTTCACCTTATTGCATGCTTTGTACTGATGTCTCAGACAGGCGAACATGGGCTCCGCATTTTCGTCGTTCCTGGGGTCTCTTCCCCCTTTGAGAGACTTCATCCTTCCCACTCCCCAGGCCTACACAACCCTGCTCAACATTTTCCAATACTTTCCAGTGGTAAGTCT